CAGTATCAGTATCAGTATCAGTATCAGTATCAGTATCAGTATCAGTATCAGTATCAGTATCAGATTGACCCCCCCCCAGCAGGAATAGGGTTAAAGAATGACAGTTTTTCATCATTGCAATAATGTATTCCAATATTTTTAAAATTTATGTCATTGAAACAGCTATTTTCAAGTTTAACTCATATAGCTTGGTTGGGTAATTTTTTATTGATTCCCCGAATTTCATACTGCCTAAATACTTACTTTTTTCTATTGAAAATGTATATTTAGACAAAACACCGGTTAAACCGTGTTTTAGAAAGCTAACTAACTACACAAGTTTTGTCAAAAAGATTTTTTGTAAAGGAATTTAGTCTTTGTCACAAACTCAAATTTTCAAATCTCTATATTCATGAAACTTCATCTTGTAGACTTTTCATATTTCAAACTAAGATAATTTGATCCAACAGAATGCATAGTTTGAAATATCTAAGGTCTACGACTTGGGTTGCAGAGATATAGGAATTAGAATATCAGAGTTTGTGTCAAAGACTCAACTTCTTTGAAGATGAAATAGTTAAGAAATAACTTATCAGGTAGCCGTTCGTAATTTAAGCTATAAGAAAGTTTCCGTCAATTTTTACAATTTGTTAACAATCTCAATTTTAGTAACGGCGTTAACGGAAGATATTTCAGAAATTGTTAACGGTTCTAGTCGTTAACGAATATTTAATGTAAAGATAGCAGTAAAAAAAACTAAGAACAGCGTTTAAAAACAAAATATGGAAAGAAAAATGTCTAAAACCATGCCCTGGTCTAGTTAACGGAACCATGCCCTGGTCTAGTTAACGGAACCATGCCCTGGTCTAGTTAACGGAACCATGCCCTGGTCTAGTTAACGGAACCATGCCCTGGTCTAGTTAACGGAACCATGCCCTGGTCTAGTTAACGGAACCATGCCCTGGTCTAGTTAACGGAACCATGCCCTGGTCTAGTTAACGGAACCATGCCCTGGTCTAGTTAACGGAACCATGCCCTGGTCTAGTTAACGGAACCATGCCCTGGTCTATAAATAAAAGAAGACAGTCGTATATATGTATGTTGCCTATAATAGCCGGTCAAACGGCTGGACCGATTGGGCTGAAATTTTTTGTGAACACTCGAAATTATATTCTAAATTTTTTTCAGCTAGTAGGTCATAGATTCAAGTATATTTAACTTAAATCCAAATTATCAAAATAAACTACAATATAAAAATTATTTTAAATAGAAAATATTGAATGAGAATATGTTTCTTTTTAGGGCATATTTGATACAATTGATAAAGAGGAGGATGGAGAGGTTTATTACAGGAATTTATATCATTTTTATAAAATATTCGAATAAAGAGACTAATCACTCGATTCTCAATATCAAAATTTATAATCCTTACATCTCTTATAAACCTGGCGTACACGTCGCAAACATTTTAAAATTTTTAATATAATTTTAAATTGCACATGTTTACATTTTCAGTATGCAAAAATAAAAGAGTTTCTAGAATTAGAGCTTGAAGCAAGAGACAATATTTTGTGTAAACCTTTATCATTTGGAGGATTTTCGGGATAAAAATAACGCACAAAAAAAATTACATAATTTTCAAATCTACAGATTCAGAAAATTATAATATTGTAAAGATCCGATCTTATATTTGTTTCCAAAATAATCATGCATGAAAATGGGAATAGAATCTAAAATCTTTTTAATATTTTTGTTTGAAAAAAAATTGAATAAATCAGGGAGGTGGTTGACTACCTAAAATCTACAAATAAAGACATGGAACCCAATCTCAAGGTATATCTTTTTCATTAAAAGGATATTTCATGAACATATCATAGAAAGGATATTTAAAGATAGGATATTTAAAGGATAGGCCATTTTATAGACAGTATATTTCATGGACATAAAAATGTCATACAAAGGAGATTTTATAGAGAGAAATTTCTTTTTTATTTTTAATCTTATAAATTGGATACTGTTGAAATAAACAAATTCTGATTTGATTCTTCTTCTTGTCGTTTCTCTCTTTCCTTTTCTCTTTTCCTTCTGTTGACTGTCCCTGATTCTGATTATTTTGAAAGAAAATAAAAATTTGTTGAAACCAGTTTGTATTAGAACACTCTGCTCCACTGTAGTTTTAGTAATTTTCAGTTTTATTGTCTAACTCAAGAATGCCTGTCTTGAAATGCTCATTGAAGGTTAATGCATTGCGATTCAGCTTCAACTCAGAAAAAGTGCTTTTTGGTGAAAACGTATTGATAACTTAAAGATAAAAATTAAAAATACATTGCAGCGCATATAATATATATAAGAATAAGCTTGTCAATTAAATAATATAATTCCTTTCGATATTTCATAGTGGCCATGAACTGCAGGGAGAACGGGATCAAAAATTTATCTTCAGAACTGCCCACTTTGGGTATCGAAATCTAACATTCAAGATCTCGGAAAGGTTTAAAAACAAAATTTTATTTGATAATTTCTTGAAATTTAATTAACGTAAAAAGTACAAAATTGAATGCTATAATTGAAAAGTAAATTTTTCAAAACACCTTTTAATAATGAAGAAACGTAAAGAACTTATTCTTTATGAAAAATTTAATATTTATTCTTATTATTGGAAAAAAGTTTATCAGAGCTTATAGTATCAATAATGCAACAATAAACTATTAAAAAGAAACTTTCGTAATAAAGGAAATGAAGAAAGATTATTCTGATAATTGTTTTTATTAACTTATAATAAATTTATCCGTTTTTGATGAAGTTTTGCAAATAAATTGCAATTCTAATTTTCATTTAATCACCATTTTAAGTTTACTGTTAAGAGTTGGAGAACTGTAAAAATTTATTTTGAATTGAACTTGATTGATTCTATTATTTTCCGCAGCAAGTTTTAAACAAATCAAATTCTAAAATTTGAAATGAAATAGTTAAAAGGGAATGAAAGAGTAATTTAAAATGACTTTCCATTGTAAACCCCAAATCACAAAGGTATCCTTAAAAACTTCTCTATTCAAGTATGAATTAGATATCAATTTCAAATATAAATTATTTTCAATTGAGAATTTTTTACAAAAGTGACTTGTTCATTTCTATACTGATGGATAAAATTCATTATTAATTATCAGAATTAAGCAACTTAAGACTTATAAAAACGACAAAGGTTTCAACGGTAACGCGTTGTGATTCCGGCGTTGACATCTTTGCATGGAGAGTCACATGAAATTACGCTTACAGTCCTTTGAAAACAATCTTGCGAATTTTAAAATTACTTGATCTGTCCTATCATGATTTATTTTAAAATTACTTGATCTGTCCTATCATGATTTATTTTAAAATTACTTGATCTGTCCTATCATGATTTATTTCTTTATCTTTAAAAAAAATTAAGGAACTGAAATATGACAGTTTTGTATTGTACAAAAAATGTACAAATACAGGTTTTTCATTCAAACATAAATGATTAAAAGAATGAGGAGTGTGAAGAACCTGTATTTTTTAAATTAAATAAAATTTCACATAAGATTGAACTTTGATATCTTTCATTTATAACTACTTCTTGTGAAGAGCTTTAAAGAAGAAAAATTATCTTTTCAAGTTTTAATAAGAATTAAGAAAAAGAAATTGAGTTTTTGCAACAAACTTAAATTTTCTAATGCTGTAAACCTTTGATATTTCAAACTTAGACTATTTGATCTACCAGAATTAATAGTTTGAAATATCAAAGGTTTAAGAAAACGGGTTGCTAAGTTATAATAATTAGAAAATCTGAGTTTGTGGCAAAAACTCACTTCCTTTGATATATTCTCATCCTGTTCTTAAAATCAAAACTAGAGGAGCAACAAGGTCACCAAGTCGTTCTAGTAAATTTTACCTTTTCCTTCTGTCTGTTTGAAACATTTCACGTTACATTTGAAGAAATATAGAAATTACTGAAGATATTCAGAAATGTCTATAAATGACCTCAACTCAAATAAATGTGATGCCTGCTCACACTTGTATTAGTGCCTGATCCAATCAGGGTTCAGTCATGTGCTTGGTATCTAATCTGAACCAATAGAAATTGCATGGCAGTATCATCTATCTTTTTATCTATCTCATTACCTAATTAGAGATGAATCCTTGTATCGGGACGAACTAGTAAATGGAAATATTTACTTCTACTGAAACTACAATGGCTTTTGTAGTAAAAAATACATCCTCACTTCTACTGTAAACCAAAAATCAAAATTCTCCCATAATCATCCATTATCTATCATATTGCCAATTACTCCTGTAAAATAATGAGTTCTAAAATATATAACATAGCGTTACGACACTTCAAAGTCGTCTCTGTCTAGGGTCTGGATATCTGTCCTCCCTTTGATATATATATATATATCTTGTTTTAGTTGGATTTGAAGCTGAACGAGTATTTACAAAAAGGAGAAACTGTTCTCAACTTTGAAGAGTTTATTGTAAGTAAATTATTTACGTTACCTTCATATTTGCATTTCAAAATTTTTTAAAAATTAAATGGTTCTATTTTCGATCTTTTGGTAATGTCCACGAGCAACGCCAGGCACTTCAGGCAGATTAGCTTATTTGTGGAATAATTTATCGCTTTATTGTTTACCTAGCACACGATTTAACATTCGTATAATAGTCCATTTCTTAGGCAGTATAAAGGGTCATTTTTTGATTAAAGGGAAAGACCGGCTATGTAAGGTAGTTAAACTGAGTTTTCAGAATTATTTTTTTTAAATTATTAAAAAACAACAACGAAAAATAAAGTAAAAATTATACAGTAATCTAATTAGATGGTTAGGATCGAACATATTTCTCAAAAGAAATTTGCCAATAAATCAATGCTAAAATCTATTATTTCGTTTTCATTATTATATTGAATTTCTTATTTTCTTTGAATTTATTCGAAGATTTCTTAAATTTTTTCAAATGTTTTATTTTCGATGATACGATTAATTTTTATTTTCTCAACATGTTCCTATACATGACATCTGTAGTTTATTGTAGAACTTTTTTACAATTTATGTCGTTGTTATCTGATAATTAAAAAAAAAAACTAATTCTGAAAACGTATCCACCCCCAAAGTAGGAGTTTTGAACGTCGAATTTGCGCTCAAACTCAGGATTTACAAATCTTTAAAAAGTTCAATATGTCTTAAATGAATCCGAAAGAAGTTTTCCACATACTCAGTTCAACTACCTTACATAGCCGGTCATTCCCATTAAACATTTTTTAAATGTAAACAATCTCTTTATTTATTTTGTTTTGTTAGGAAGTACTTGAAACCGTGAAAAGTCTTGGCTGGTCCAAGTTTGAAAACGACAAGGTTAGTTGTACATTTGGTAGTTGATTGATCGATTGCTTGATTTATTATTATATTGATTGATTGTGGTTTTTACTTATTTTTTTAAAGAATAAATGATTTATTCACTGATCAAATTTAATATTTTATTTTCTTATTTATTTTTTTATTTTGATTAATTTTTTTTATTTATTGATTGATTCAATACTTTATAAATTCATTCTCAAACTGAATTTTGATTGAGTTATTGAAAGATTGATAAAAAATAGAAATTTAAAACTTCTTAGTTGTTTTAGTTGTTAGAAGAAAAAGAATATTATAGTCCCAAGGGAAATTAGTTTTATCTAAATAATTTTGGGATTAAGAATGCACGTTAAAAATGACAGCCTTTATTCAAAATGGCGTCCTGCATTCAAAATGGCGGTCTATATATAAAATGGCGGTCTGTATTCATAATGGTGATCTATATTTAGAATGAATCCACGATAAGTGATCTGGACATGCGTGGTATTTTCAAAATGGTGGACGTGGATAAAAGTGGAACTATTTCTAGAACAGTGAGTTGAAATTGGAATTTTACTTTGTGAAGATTTACTTTTTGTCCAGTTTTTAAACAACGTATAGAAATATAATTTATATAATCTCTTAGTAACATTTTGTTAACACAAAAATTTTTAAAAATCCTTTTTTCATTTAAATATTGTATAAAAAATGAACGAATGCAGTCTTTATAAATTGTATGTCGACTCACTACTAATAATTTGATAGGAACGAATAAGTTTTAATTTTTGGTCAGCAACTTCAACAAATCTTTGCATACAATATTACTTTGTTTAATAATTAATATTCAGTATTAATTTCTCAATTACTTTGTTTGTATGCAACCTCTATTTCTCATTTAAAAAATACTTCTGAAAAAGTTCAGTTTTTAATCCTCAGATATAAAATGTGTTTGACAATCTTCATTAAATGTAGTAATTTATATCCAAAGTATCCAATAGTCTAGAAAAGGTATCTGTTCTAAAATAATTTAAGTGTCTCGTTTATTTCCAAATATTGTTATAAACACAGCTTTCTGCTGTATTCAATGTTTTTTTATACATTTCTACAATTAGAAATGGAAAACTTTCAGAAAAGTTTGACCGAAGGCCGTTAAAGGTAAAACTTTTATTTATGGTGTCATGCTAAATTCTCCTCCTTTCAACTTTTATAATAATAATTGTAAATACTATAAAGCAAAACAATTCAAACTATATCTTAGTTTAAATTAAATTCCACTTTAATTCAAGTCTCTTATTACCATGTGACCATGTGTAAGATATTCTGGCTAATTTATATATTCTGAAAGACATTCTGGCTATTTTATATGTTTTGTAAGATATTTTGGCTAATTTATATGCTCTAAAAGATATTCTGGCTATTTTATATGTTTTGTAAGATATTTTGGCTAATTTGTATGTTCTAAAAGATATTCTGGCTGGTTTACATGTTTTGTAAGATATTATGGATAACTTTTATGTTCTCAAAGATATTCTGGCTAGTTTACATGTTTTGTAAGATATTATAGATAACTTTTATGTTCTTAAAGATATTCTGGCTGGTTTATATGTCCTGTTTAACATATCCTGGCTAGTTTAAATGTTCTGTAAGATATCCTGGCTAATTTATATGTTCTGTAAGATATCCTGGCTAGTTTATATGTTCTGTAAGAGATTCTGGCTAATTTATATGTTCTGTAAGATATTCTGGCTAATTTATATGTTCTGTAAGATATCCTGGCTAGTGTATATGTTTTGTAAGATATTCTGGCTAATTTATATGTTCTGTAAGATATCCTGGCTAGTGTATATGTTTTGTAAGATATCCTGGCTAATTTATATGTTCTGTAAGATATCCCGGTTAGTTTGCATGTTCTGTATAACATATCCTGGCTAGTTTATATGTTCTGCATAACATATCCCGGCTAGTTTATATGTTCTGCATGATATATCCTGGCTAGTTTATATGTTCTGTAAGATATTCATAGGCTGAATTTAAAGAATTTGAGCAGAGGAATAAATTTAAGCTGCGGCTCAAATATGGCGGGTTTCACTTAAAATTGTGGCTCAAATTCATTAAATTTGGACACTGGCTAGTTTACATATTTTGTAGAATATATCCTGACTAGTTTATATGTTCTATTTATGTATAATTGTAGTAAAGGCCTATCAATCAAAATACAATTCAGTTTCACTTAGCTATCAATGTCTAAACCCGAACACAATCCCGTCAGCTATCAATGTAATCACCGGCGCTAGCTTAGCTTCCAATGTTAACCAGGACACAAGGTCTTAATCGATCAATGCTAAACCAAAGGGCATAATCAGCTATTAATGTCAGCACGGACACAAGTTCTTAATCGATCAATGCCAAACCAAAGAGCACGATCAGCTTTTAATGTCAGCAAGGACACAAGCACTTAATCAATCGATGCCAAACCAATAGGCACGATCAGCTATCAATGTCTAATGGACGTAATCACTTAATCGATCAATGCCAAACCAATGAGCACAATCAGCTATCAATGTCTCACACAAGCACTTAATTGATCAATTCCAAACCAATGAGCACAATCAGCTATCAATGTCTCACGGACACAAGCACTTAATTGATCAATTCCAAACCAATGGCACAATCAGCTATCAATGTCTCACGGACACAAGCACTTAATTGATCAATGCCAAACCAATGAGCACAATCAGCTATCAATGTCTCACGGACACAAGCACTTAATTGATCAATTCCAAACCAATGGCACAATCTCTTGAGCTATCAATGTCAACGGGCACTAGCTCAAATCAATGCCAAACCAATGGGCATGATCTCAGCTCGTATGTTTCGACGAGAACCAAATTACTCTCTCGCAGTAGTCAATGCGGAGTCTCTATATCAACTCAGTATATTTCTTGATGTAAGTTTAAAGATAGGTTTTAAAAGCGTAATTACAAGTAATGCGCTGTTATATATAATTAGTTAAGAAATCACATAATGGTATGACGGAAAGTTATATATATCTACATTCCTAGATTGGGTTAATTGCAATACATGTTTTATGTATTTACTAATAAGCACATTTAGCAATATGGACAATGTACAACGTAATTTATTTAGATTTACTATATCATATTCATATGTTCTGAAAGATATCCTGGCAAGTTTATATGTTCAGTATAATATATCCCGGCTAGTTTATATGTTCAGTATAATATATCCCGGCTAGTTTATATGTTCAGTGTAACATATCCCGGCTAGTTTATATGTTCAGTATAATATATCCTGGCTAGTTTATATGTTCTGTATAATATATCCTGGCTAGTTTATATGTTCTGTATAATATATCCTGGCTAGTTTATATGTTCTGTAAGGAAAAATATTCATTTTATTGGTAGGTTTGATGTTTTAATACTATTTTGTTAAGGAACTAAAAATGGCCTGCAAATATCTTGGGAAGCGATATGGAATAAACGATGTAAGTAAAGGAATTGAGCTTTTGATAGATAAGAATATGAATGTGTTTTTGATCTTCAATATAGGTTGTAAAATAGAAAATGGTAACGAAAAGGTCCGTATAGCTTACCTCTTCGTTTCCTTTCTCTATGTTCTACTTATGTGCAATGTGTACAATAAGTACATTGTACAGTGGTAACCAAAAAACCGTGAAATTAATGACGTTGCCTTTCTTTCGTTTCAGAAAAAAATGACGCATAGCTAAAATTTTAAAAATTAGACATTACACAATCCGCAGTGGTAACCTTTGCATATAAAAAAAATATTTTTGTTTGTCTGTCATGGTGTATGTATGTTGGATCAAAAATAATTTTTGCCTCAAATTTTATTTAGAAAATTATATTAAAATTTCAATAAGATTAAGATTTATTATCTTATGATATTTTTCCTTTATTTGGAAACACTCCGTTTTAGTTCTGTTTGATCAGGTTGAAACCTGGCAAGGAACAGACCTTTGTATTCTGTTTGATCAGACTGGAACCTGGCAGGGAACAGTTCCTTTTATTCTGTTTGATCAGGCTGGAACCTGTCAGGGAAGAGACCCTTGTATTCTATTTGATCAGGCTGGAACCTGGCAGAGAACAGACCCTTGTATTTTATTTGATCAGGTTGGAAACTTTCAGGGAACAGACCCTTGTATTCTGTTTGATCAGGCTGGAACCTGTCAGGGAACAGACCCTTGTATTCTGTTTGATCAGGCTGGAACCTGGCAAGGAACAGACCCTTGTACTCTGTTTGATCAGGATGGAACCCGGCAAGGAACAGACCCTTGTATTCTGTTTGATCAGGCTGGAACCTGACAAGGAACATACCCTTGTATTCTGTCTGATCAGGCTGGAACCTGACAAGGAACAGACCCTTGTATTTTGTTTGATCAGGACGGAACCTGGCAGGGAACAGACTCTTGTATTCTGTTTGATCAGGCTAGAACCTGACAAGGAACAGACACTTGTATTCTGTTTGATCAGGCTGCGACGTGGCAAGGAACAGACCCTTTTTGTTTGATCAGGCTGCAACCTAGCGGGAAACAGACCCTTGTATTCTGTTTGATCAGGCTGGATTCTGACAAGGAACAGACCCTGTGTATTCTGTTTGATCAGGCTGGAACCTGACAAGAACAGACCCTTGTATTCTGTTTGATCAGGCTGGAACCTGGCAGGGAACAGACCCTTGTATTCTGTTTGATCAGGTTGGAACCTGGCAGGGAACAGACCCTTGTATTCTATTTGATCAGGTTGGAACCTGGCAGGGAACAGACTCTTTTATTCTATTTGATCAGGCTGGAACCTGGCAGGGTTTAATGAGAGCAGCAGATTCAGATGGAGATGGAAAACTCAGCTACGCAGAGTTTAAACAAATTATTCAAGTTAGTTTATTTTTATCATTTTAATATTAAATTTATCTGAATTTTCAAGTATAAAATAAAAAAAATTCGTTTAATCAAATAAATATATCTAGAATGATGTAATTGTCATGTTGCGCAATTTACATACAAAACGTTTGCACAACTTTTGTTGGTTTGCTGAAAACTTATATTTGCGTAAAACAATGTATTTCCAAGCTTGTGCAATCCGCAAAGCAAAATTTTACATAAATTTGCAATTGCAAATTTCAAATACACGTTTTGAAATTATCTGTTTCAGATGGCAGAGAATTCGATAAGAGTAAAGAACTTGAAAAAATGAGATGTTGTTTTGAAAAATTAGTCATGAAAAAATACCAAATTAAAAAGCAAAGACCTAAATTGATAATTATGTTAAAGAATAAGGTGTTTTGCCACAACCTCTGACTTTCTATTCCCTATATCTTTACCCCCATTGTCGAAAACTTTAGATATATTTGAAACTATGAATTATTTTGGATCAAATAATTTATGATTAAAATATAAAAGGTTTTCACCACCAGGTTGCAACGATAAAGGAATTCGAAAATTAGAGTTTGTGACGACAAAGACTTAACTCCGAGGCTTTAGAGTGAATCAATAATTTTAACATATTTTCCATTTAAAGGGGAATGGGTAAAGTTAAGCTCAAATAACAAATATTCATGCCTTTATTTTTGGAACTATTTTATTGAGACTTTGCATGATTAACTCTAGGAGTAAATTTTCAAAATGTATTAAATAAAAAAAAAATTTTCCCTCATTTTCCTTGTTTTTCTTATATAAAAATATTTTTTCCTTATTTTAAATACAAATTTAGCCTGTATTATGTTGGGTAATTTCCTTTCTGATATTTTTGATTCTGATATTTTGGATGAATTAGTTTTTTTTTGTTTTTCATTATTCTGGTTTCCCCCATTTTACCCTTGGATATTGGATTTGAGTTCAAACTTGAGAATCAATAAAGCGAGACAAGAGAACTATTTGGCTGTAAAATTGTGCCAAATAAAAAGATACCGGCGGAAAAATACTTTGATGGAGACAAACTTAAATCATTGACACCAAGGAGCAGGGTTTTTAGGTTCCATGGAATGCATGGCTGCACAAATATAGAACCCAAGAAGTAGGATTTACAGGAATGAACCTGTAAAGAACCCAACATTTAAGAAATATAAGTTGGAGTAATATGGATATATATTTAGAACCCATCAAGGAGAAGCATATATAGGTAAAAATACAGTGCATTCGGAAAGTATTCAAAAATGAAATCTCAGCACATAATTGAGTAACATCAGAACATGGCACAAAGGCAAAAAATTGGAGAATTAAAAATTGCAAAAATCCGCTATAAATGCAAGTTTAAGATTTTTTTTGGTTTTCTACAACTTTTTCCAGACCTAAATATATCAATATTCCATTTTCCTGCAAAATCTAAAAAGATTATATTGAAAAATAAAGATGTGAACCCTTTAACAATTTATTTTGTCTTTGATGACGGGAACATTTCTTTTTTATTTGGCGCAATTTTACAGTTAAATAATTTTTTGTCTAAGAAATCATTTAACATTTTTTTTAAATCTGGGAAATATTTTTTTGGAGCATTTTTATTTTTAGTTCAGAAAGTTAAGAATAATTATGATCTAAATCCCAAGTTTGAACAGAAAAATTTCAAAAATGAAGATAGGAACTCAAATTCAATTTCCATGGGTAAAATGGCGAAAACCAGAATAATGAAAAAAGAAAACCTAATTCATCCAAAATATCATGAAGGATATTACCCAACAGAATACAGGCTCAATATGTATTTAAAATCAGGAAAAAATGTTTTTTTTAAAACAAGGAAAATGCTAGAATTTTTTTTTTCTTTATCTTCATGTAAAATCTCACGAAAATAGCTCCAAAAATGAAGGCGTGAATCCACCTTGAAAATTTGTGTCACTTAAGGGGAAATGTGCCCTTTCCCCTTTGTCTTATGTTTAATTTTCTTGAGGAAAATTACATAAAATTGCGTAAAAAAAATTTAGTAAAAAGAGGCTAAGATTGACGCCTTATTTCAAAGACTGGTTTTAGACAAATAACTAAAATAATGTCATTTTCTGCATTTAGAATCTATGAGTCTTGACAATCACGACAAATTTGGTTATTATCTAAATGTCAAAAAGTTTTTAATTGATAATTTGTTGACTTTTTTAAGACTTATTTAAGACTTATTTAAGACTGCAATTGAATTCCGATAAAATTAACGGAATTTCAAGATAATTTTTCTAATTTGAACATTGGCAAAATTGTCTCACTCTATACTAAAGCATAGCTTTAAATTGTATAATAGTTTTTTTTTTTGTAAATTATGTATAGTATTAAATTAAATTATATTAAAATATGATATATCACAATATTAAAAACTGATTTTCGCTTTAATAAAAATTTGTTCCGTCCTTTAATCTCGTAAATCGTAAAGTTGGGTTTTCAAAAATATCCAAAATACCTTTGAATAAAGATTTTAATTTACGATTTAAAAATGAATGTGTTGGGATGTCTGTAATAAAATTCATGTCAGTAAAGGAATTGAGTCTTTGCCACAAACCATATTGTCCAATCTCTATTATCTAACAAGATTCATAATTTGAAATATCTAAAGTCTATTACATCAGGTTGCTAAGATATAGGGATTAGGAAATCAGAAGTTGTGGCAAAGACTCAATTCCTTTAACGTAAGATTTAGATCAAGCATTATCTCTATCATCACATTATTTCAGGAGTTATTCATGAGAATTATTTTTAAAAATTTATAATTGATCGGATTGATTTGTCATTAAATAAAGTTAAAATATTTTTGGGTGTTGGGACATTTAAAAGAAAGACATTTCATAAAAAGACATTTCATAGAAAGACATTTCATCGATAGACATTTAACAGATGGGAATTTCATAGATAACAAATCATAGACAGGACATTGCATAAATAGGACATTTCATGGATAGGACATTTCATAAACAGGGGATTTCATAGACAGGACTTTTCATATACAGGACATTTCATAGAAAGACATTTAATAGATGGTCATTTCATAGATAACAAATCGTAGATAGGACATTTAATAAACATGACATTTCAAAGACAGGGCATTTCATAAACAGAGCATTTCATAGATAGGCCTTTATAGATAGGACATTTCATAAGCAGGGCATTTCATAGACAGGACTTTTCATATACAGGACTTTTCATATACAGGACATTTCATAGAAAGACATTTCATAGATAACAAATCATAGATAGACCATTTAATAAACAGGACATTTCATAGACAGGACATTTTATAAACAGTGAATTTCATAGATAGGTCATTTCAGAGATAGGACATTTCATAGTCAAGACATTTCATAGATGGTTATTTCAAAGATGACAAATCATAGAAAGGACATTTCATAGATAGGACATTTCATTGACAGGACATTTCATGGAGAGGACATTTCATTGACAGGACATTTCATGGAGAGGACATTTCATAGATATTCATAGACAGGACATTTCATAGACAGGAAATTTCAGAGATAGGACATTTCATAGATAGAAAATATTTTCATAGGCAGGTAATTTCATAGACAGAAAAACATATCCCAATATCTAAAAACATACTCTGATGTGATTTGCAGCTTTATTTATCACCATAACCATAAACGTTAGAGATCTATTTTATAAACTGAGCAGGAACTGAGAACTTTTTTTCTGTATTCTTTCCATTTTTGGATTACTTTGGCCTTTAGCTTGTCATTTCTCTCTAATTCCAAACGTGTAGGTTTCAATTTAAATAAAGATCCAATATTTTTCTCTTCAACTCTTGAAATGAAACCTCAAGCATGTTAAAATACAAATTACAATATAGATTTTTAAAATATAATTTTACGTTGGAAAGAGAAGGATCTAGAGAAAAGATAATCCTATTTTTTAACTTTTGTTTGTTAATAACCTCTATCCAAATTGGACTATTTTTTTATAAAAAATAACTCAAAAAAAATTATTTCTGAACTTTTTGCAGAGAAAGTTATGTCGGTTACTAAAGCAACTCCAAATTCAAATATTTTAATTCCATTTCTGTGTTTAACTTACTATGCGAGGATCTATTTTCGTCATTGTTTAGTGAAAAGCTTTGGGTTGGGTTTTACAAGATTAACGTTGAGAAATGAAAATGTGATGAAATTCGAAATTTAACTTTTCACGGCTTGCTTATTTTAGGATGTTTTAGACTGCTTGTTAGTTCAAAAATTACGTCGGAAAAATATTTTATTTTAACAAATGTTAAAATATGCTCCATTTCTTTTTCAAGGCTTTTAAACTTGTATATTTTTATTTGTATTTGATCAAATAATAAACAATGTTTTGAGTTAATCAAATATCATCCTGTACTTTGCTCAATCAACTTTCTAGTCGATGGACTTAAAAAAAGAGAATGAAGTGAAGAAAGTTGAGAGTGTTCTAGTGCAAAACGTTTTATGATTTAAAAAAAAATAACCGGGAGGAGCGGTATTTGAATTTACATGCACTAGAGCGGTAGAGGAACGTATAGAGGGCCCGTGGTTAAAAGTGCAGAGATTTAGCTTTAGAACACATTAAATGCAGATATTTTTCTTATTTGCTACCTTATCGATTTTTGACGAATTTGAAATAAAAGATTAATTTTATTGTACGTTACTTTACGTTGGGGATTTTAAGCCTGGATATGGATAAGCAATTTTGCCAAGAATTGAATATCTAAAACAGTGCAATTGGCACTTTCTAGACAACTTTTTAGACAAGTTTTGTCACAAATAAAAAAATTGCTGTTATACGCTTATCCTACACATACACGCCTAAACTACCCATTCTTTACTACAGGGGGGATTAAGGGGGAAAATAAAAGAATGGATAGGGGGATGGAGAGGTAAACGAGAAGAATGATAGGGAGATAGATGGGGGAAAAGAGAAAAATGGACAGGGAGAAGGAGAATGAAAAGAGAAGAATTGATAGGGGGAAGGAAGGGGAAAAGAGAAGAATGGATAGGATGAATGAAGGGGAAAAGAGAAGAATTGATATGGGGAAGGAAGGGGAAAAGAGAAGAATGGATAGGGGAAGGAAGGGGAAAAGAGAAGAATGGATAGGATGAATGAAGGGAAAAAGAGAAGAATGGATATGAGAAGGAAGGGGAAAGAGAAGAATGGATAGGAGGAAGGAAGGGGAAAAGAGGAGAATGGATAGGGGGATGGAGGAGGAAAAGAGAAGAATGGATAGG